CCAATCGACAGCTGGTCAAGAGGAATCCGCCGTCGTCTTCTGATGGAAGCGACCTTCGAATCTCTTCACCAAACAACTTCACTCGAAATGGAAGTAAGCTCAACTTCAGATGAACTTCTTCAGTGCAAAAGGGACCATTATGTTCCGGTTGTCCTGACATTGCTATATAAGCAAAAGCTGTAACTTAAAGAATTTCTTGGTGCTGGCGTACTTTTCATCTTCTTTGAAAATTTGTGTCAATTGGCGGTAATTTGGTATTACCGACGGCCGAAGATAGATTGTCCTGGAGCAGTGACTGTAGATCTGTGCGTATATGCCTCCAGTGCGCCACTCCATGGCCTCGATGAAACTATGCTGAAATTTCGTCTATCATGCGGCAGACATCTTCAGAGCGGGACACTATGCCTTGCGATAATTCACCAGGCCTGAAGACTGTTAGCCACGCCTATGCGTCTGCAGTTTCCCCAGCGAAACACTTCATGTGACTGCGTATATAAAGACATATTTAGGCAAATATACAATTCTTGTATTTACCCATCGTTATGAGGGCAAAAGACGTTTCACTTCTTTTTAACCTGAACTCTTTAATTGGGAAGCCTTAATTGGTGCGCCACGTATTGCCAGGCCGGCGCAGTCAGCAACGGTCCTGTAGAAGCCGACCTTGGTTGTGCAAACACCAACTGGTTCCACTACTGGGTGGGTCACAGAGGGCTTGTTGTAGGAGGAAGAGGGTGGGATGAGTGGAGAATGGCAATTGCAATAGCAACTGCGATTGCAGAACCCTGTGCGCCTTGGCTAAAAGAGCAGGCCGCTAGCTTGTGAGGGATGGGGGGGCACAAATGAATACAACCTCACACCGACGTACAGGTTGGCCATCACATCAAGGCGTCTATCCCCTCAGACCAGACGACACACAAAATGTCACGAACCCAAGCAATCAGAAGCAGAAGCATCTGCATTAGTACACAAGGGCTCAAGGCAACTCAGTCTTAGGTACTGTTAGAACCACCTACCCTTCAATAAATGTACTAGCATCTGCATACAAACTCACTTTCGTGCACTGGCCCACTTAAAAGCAAGCCTGAACACAGACGCATACACATCCCGAACCCACCACCATTAAGAAAAATTAATTATGGCACACACACACACAAACACACATAAGTGTGTCCTCCAACAAGTGTTGCCCTATTCATAAATAACTGCACAGAACAAAGGGACATCAGTATGCCCAACGTAGTTGCCCGAGGAGTACGGCTGAAGTCTGCCATTAGCGTTTCACCAGAACAGTTACGGCGGTAGAACGAGCATCAAATCAGCTCAAGGGGATAGACTTAAAGACGGCCACAGGCCGAGTGGCAAGTGTTTACGTGCGATGGTTCGTTTGTGTGTGTGCACTGGGCTTGGTTGAGTATGCGCACTCGAACGTGTGCTCTTCAGGGTCTGGCAGAGGCGACACGAATGCTCACAGAAAGGAACGTGACATGCATAAAGAAGAATTGAAACGCAAGTACAGTAGCGTCGTAATGATGCGTACTAAGGGGAGGGATATTCTTATAAATCATCCAAGCGACTGGCCTTCTGGTAACAGGTCTCTATGCCTGTTCGTCCTACTGCCTGTGTTGTATCCGTCCGGCCCGTTTCTCCCCTACCAGATACTGTTAAGGCAGTATTCTGCCGGTTCCATCCTTTCGGTAGGCATTGCATGAGCTCGTCTGCCCAGACTTTGGACGTACCGGGCCAATTTAAGGCTCGGGTCAAGTCAGATTGACAGGTAGCAGCAGAGGAAGACCTCATCTAAGACAGGATAGGAGAGGAGGGGCGGTGTGGGCTGTATCCTCGTGTCTGTATTCGAGCCTTCGAATAGGAAAGAAGAAGCTCACTTGTCGGCCAATATCTGAGGAGACAAGCCCCATTTTGTGTACATCCACCAGCCATTATGTCATTGCGTGGATGGAGATGCCCGGGCGGTTTTAGGCAGACTCAAGAGAAGCCGGATCTCTGTGAGGTTTGCTGATCAATCCGAGGCGGTTCTGGGAAGATGGTACCGACGAACGAAAGAGCATCACATCTGCACGATGGATTAGGGTGTACTCGATTCCTACATCAAACAGTCTATGCTATAATTTCTAGGCCAGGTCAGTGTGAAATCATCGTGCCGTCATAGGATCGTGCAATAGTGCAAGTACTCCCTTTGGTACAGATTTTGGCCACGCATACCTTAAATCACATCGGGCAGTAACGCAGTTGCAGATTATACCCTTGCAACACAACTCTAGGGGGTATGTGAAAAATTCCGATATCAACACAAGTACACAATTACCTGTAAAATGGGATACGCAACGCAGTCAAGGAATACTTGTGCAGGGAATAGGTATTTGCAAAAGATTCAAATTGAGCATATCATAAGTGCGTTTGCCAATGAAATGCCTGAAGCAGTTTCTACAAAGCTTTCGGGTCTTGGGACGAACAAAAGGGAACAGAAGACTAGTTTTGAACATTTTAAATGCTTATTGTATGAGTAACCAGTAA